GAGCAAAACAGAATCACGCGCCAGTCGGACAACCCACTATACGAACTCGAATTGTTGCCAGTTTGCACCTCCTTCGGGTTCCCTGCTTGAACAATTGTCAATTGGTAAGCTACCTAGATAATGATGCCGTTTGATCAAGTATGTTGAGGGGAGTCGGTGCAACGGATCTTGCGCAACAGATATTTGATTTCACGGCAGGTCTTGAAATGGACTTGCAGTTGAGGCTCAGGTACGTGCGCGTGCCAACCTTTTCGAACATAGCTGATGACCCGACCCGAGTAGACTCTTGTTTGACACTATGCGAGCTGCAGGGGCAGAGTTCTTCGACCGTCCGTGGGGCACTGTCGATAAAGTTCTACAGGCAGTTCAGCCTAAAGACTGGGGTTGGCTGCGGGGCGTGAACTGTACCTTCCCCATTGCCCAATGTCAAAGAAAAGTGTGAGGGATCGTGTCAGTGCGCGTGCTTTTTTGCATGTGCCGTCATGTCGCTTTCATGTCTTGAGTTTGAGGACGTATCACGAAAACGATTTCCGAAGGAGGCCAACTGAAGTTCTAGTCTATTGTTTTAGATAGGTCAAAATCGAAGGGATCACTCGAAAAATCATTCCAGGCAGCCCCCCCGCCCCGCCATTTCGTGTGGAGCGAATCAATAGGGCCCGCCTTAACGCCCCTCCTCCCCCCACCAAAAGGACGCGAAATCACACACACATAATCCCCATGAAATTTTTAAGGCGTTCTCACATTCATCGTTGTCATCGCTTTCGTTTCCCGTAACCAGAGCATAAGAAAACCGGTGCTCGAAGGCAGGAATAAATCACGTGTTTTTTTTGACCGAAGATGCCCATGATGGATACGTCAGGGGTTTTTGCGCACATTAAAGCTCGGGTTTCCGATCACTTAAGGATGGAGGTCTGCCCGGCTCGCCGGTCTCCTCGGCTCCCCCCGCTAGGGACCGTGGCTTGCCTGGAAGCTGACCGGCTCACCCACAGCTTCTGCCCTGACCTTCAGCGTGCGAAAAATTTGGAGGAAAATAGACGGAGTTTGAGGTTGGGAGCGGAAGAAGAACGGAACAAAGAGGGAATTAAACTTCAGATTGCTCCTGCCGATTGCCCCTGCGGGTCACAGTGGCCAGGCGGAGAACCGGGAAAAATACAAAAAGGAACACAGGCGGAGTAAGTTGGCAGCTTTGGGGAACCGCGTGCAGAGCAGCATGCGCATGTAATCGGGAACATTCAGATCCATGTGGATATCTATATGCCCTTCTGGGTCTGAAAAGTTAATGTTGCAAAAAACAAATTTTGGACGGGAACAGGGGGGTCAAGAGGGCGCAAGAGGGTGGAAAGGAAACGCAATAAAGAACAAACGTCGACACATTGATGTCTTGCTGCTGCCAGCACAGTGGCCGAAGACCGGTGCCAGTTGGCGAGGGCTTGTTGTTCCCAATCAAAAACGTTCAACGGGATTGGAATGAATGCTGACACACGAGTGCGACAGACGAAGTTAGCCTCTCGCTACAAAAAACTAAGGGCGTTGACTCACAATTAACTATATATTCCTCAGTCATTCTTTTAGTGCCATCCAAAAAGATCCCCCTTTTCCCCAGATAGCGAAGCTATGGGGTTCTCACCTTCAAATAGCAATGAGTTGCCCGTGCGCGCTTTCGAGACAGGTTGCTGGTGCTGGGTGCCGGTGCTGGTGCTGGTGCCGGGTGCCGGTGCTGGTGTGCACGTGGTGGAGACAGGTTGCTGGTGCTGGTGGTGGTGCTGTGAGCTGGCTGTGGGTGTTGTGAGCTGGCTGTGCACGTGGTGGGGACAGGTTGCTGGTGCTGGTGCTGGTGCCGGTTGCCGGTGCTGGTGCTGTGAGCTGGCCGTGCACGTGGTGGAGACAGGTTGCTGGTGCTGGTGCCGGGTGGCGGTGCTGGTGCCCGCTTCTGACAGTGAAGTGATAACAACCGCCGCTTCTGACAGTGAAGGGTATCAAACCGCCGCTTGCAGCAGTGAAGGGCGACCAAGCGCCGCTTCTGACAATGAAGTGCCAGCAGTCATGGGCCGCATAAACTTATGCACGCAACATCATACGGTGTTGTCGCTGGAGCGTTCTTTGTCTATTAGCGCTGTGGGGTACTTGCAGTTCTGTTTTGGCCGGCAGCTGTGTCAAGGGCTGTACTGTTTGCGCGCATAGTTTTTTACGTATAATGTGTTCTGTGCGCAACGTCAGGCTCTCAACCGACCATTGTTCCAGCATGTTTCAGCATGCTACACACAATAGTCGTGCTGGATACTGCTTGGCCTTGGGCGAGCGAAGCCTACGGGCTTTGTTTGCGCTTGTGCGCGTACTTTTGTGCAATAAACTTTTACGCGCAAGGTCATACGGCCTTATCGTCCTGCAGATCGTTGCTTCAAGCATGCTAGTCAGTCAATAGTGGCGCTGGATACTGCTTGGCCTTGGGCCAATGACACTTACGGGCTTTGCTGTTTGCATGCATATTTTTTTGGTATGCATAAACATATATGCGCAAGATCATACGTTGTTATTCCTCAAATAGGGATAGCTATGGGGTTCTTGCTGCAAATAAGAATGAACTGGTTGCGCTTTCGAAAGCGTGTCGGTGCTGGTGCTGGTTTTGGGTGCTGGTGCTGTGAGCTGGCAGCTGGCTGAGCGCGCTTTTAAGACAGGGAGGTGCCACAAGCTGGCTGTGCAGGCTGCGTGCATTCTTGCTCCAGCCAGTCGCATGTCAACAGGTCGTGGGATTCTGCCTAGCTATCTGGGTCTATGCTGGTGTAATCTCGCAAGTGTCCAAGGATATGTCCAGTGAAGGTCGCAGTGCCATTGGTTCGGTTCAATCCCATTATCAACCTGACACACGGGGAATCATGAGCGTGGTGGCCGCAGATGGTTCAATTGGTTATCAATGTTTGTTGCCAACATGCGCCTTCGTTCCTTGGCGTGCTTTATTTTTTTGCGGGCGTTGAAATAGCACTAGCATACAGCAGTAAGGAAACTTAACAAATTGTCCGGGTTTTTGGATCACATGCATACAACATTAGGCCTTTGTGTTGGTGATGGTGCTTTCATTTGCCAGGCCAATGTGTGGAGGACATGTCCCCGCTTGTTTTTGACAATGCATTTTTCCGAGTGTTCCGTGTTTATATTCTCAATCCCGGCTGTCCCGTTGCAGGATTCCTTTGCAGCGACAAGCTTGCCAAAGGCCCATCCAATTTGGCTAATAAACGGCGGATGTTCATCAAAATTTGGTTTGATCGTTGAAGTTGTCAACGCAAACCCCAAAAACGAGATGGTGTGCAGTCAACGTTTAGCACCAATTCTATCCAATTCTTGTGTGGAGGCTAATGCGCAACGATGCGGCACTGCTTTCCAGGACTGAGTTTGAGATTTGTTGTTTCAATCGCTCTGAAACTTTGGGCCTGTTTGAGCCGACAATTTGCATGCATCTTCCTGGAGAGAGAGAAAGGGAAAAAAGAGAGAGAGAGAGAGCATACTGAATACACATCGCCCAGGAGCAGGATTCACGGTTCAGCGATTTCTTCAGCAACACAGTCGGGGTGCGCAGTCTTGAAGGTATGGGCCAAAAAATGCCTATGGACTGTGGCCTTGTATGGTCGGCTTGTATATTTGACTTGTGACTTTTTGGTATTTTTGGCCAGTTGTGACCGTTGCAATATATAGTCGATACACCTAACATCGAAACGACACTTTGTTGCCAATTCTGTTGGCCAGCGCTAACAATAGACTTGGTACAAGGCCACCCTTAGCCTGCAATCTTTTGGCCCAGGCCGCGCCAAAAAAAATCACAAGAGCAGACGCGGCCCATTTCCTGTCACCACGTGCTTCAACAAGTGGGCGGGCGGCTGCCTTCAATTACACAGTGGAAGAGGCAGGGAACAAAAGGTACGAAATCAATGCCATTGCTCTAAAGGATTAACTTGGATGAATTTGCTTTGTTTTGTTTCTTTAATATCCGCTTGGTCTCATATTGATTCGCTGTCATGAGTGGGTGAAAAGGTGGTGGAGTGCATTTTTTCACCGGCTTCTTGTCAGGCGGCTCATGCAGCTCACCACTCCAATGAAGAGCAGAGAGCGCTGAAGAAAGCGTTGGCCAAGGCGACAGAAAGACTTCAACGACCTGACTTGTGCCAGCACATCAGGCCGCACCGCATTGCAGTGTAGAGCTGACAGGATCACTCCCTCACAGCAGAGGAGGCAAAATTCTTCTCCTTCATCTCGGGGCCTCTAACCTTCTTGACTCTTGGTCGGCACGATGTTGAATTGTTTGTGGGCGCCCGGCAAAAATAGCGATTTTTGTAAAGGCTGTGCTCGTTTGCAAATGGCGGGGCTTTTGCTCGCTCCAGGACCAGCATGTTCGCAATTACCGCAGCCTACCTCGAGGTGCAGAACGGATGGATGCTCTCGCAGCAGTGACCTCAGATTGACCTGTCAGATGGGTGAACAATGCGTTCGACTGTTTTTAGCACGTGCACACACAGACACACTCCAAACCATACATTATGGGAAAGTACAGTGTTATAAGTTATATTATGTACAATTTATGTGCCTGTTACAGAGGCTTCTCAAACTGCTCAGGAAAGCGAAGATGATGAAAGAGGAGTCTTTCATTCGTTTTGCATGGGACGTCCTGTTTACGTTTGGATCATCTACTGAAAACTCGACAAAGATTGAAGAGTCGTCTACTCTCATTGTGTTGGCCGCTCCAAAATCCAGTCTGAATCGATCCCAAGCACTTGTTAGCTTGTGAAGGGCTTTTGTTTCCAGAGCGATTTGTGTTTGGACCATGTTAGGTGTTAATATCCTTGACGCCGTGGCCTGCTTACAGGTGCAATTAGACCACGAGATAACTTGGTGATTTTTTTGGGCCACTCGTTGGGGTGTAGGCACGTGCGAGCCAACCGTGCAGACAATTTAGGCAACTTCAGTGCACATAACTCGGCTTCGTCAACAAGTCTTACTGGAAAGGGCCAAGGGCGGACTGCAGGTTTTCAAAACTTGTCCTGAACACATGCTGCCTTTAGCTTGCTTGATGGCATGTGGTTGGTGCAGGCGTGAGGCAAGCTAGTGCCATGGCAATGGCACCAATGGCGCCAATGGGCTTTCCATTTGATCCCGCATTGCTGCTGAGTTTTGGTGAGCCATGGGACCAAAGCAAGGTACAGATGCTGGACCACGTGGTGAACCTTATGTACTCAGGTGACCAATCACAACGCAAGCTGGCCCATGAAATACTGACACAGGTCAAAACTCACCCAGATTCCTGGTTTGCAGTGGACACCATTCTAGCGACGTCATCCAGTCCAGACACCAAGTTTTTTGCACTCAATGTTCTGGAAAACGTGATCTGCACGCGTTGGATGGTGCTTCCAGACACACAGAAGGCTGGCATCAAAAACTACGTTGTTCAACTAGTGATCAAGATCTCTGCGGATGAGCATTTTGCTACAACACAGAAGCATTTCCTGACAAAGTTGAACGAGACTTTGGTTCATATTGTCAAGCAGGAGTGGCCGCATTCTTGGGACAATTTCATCCCGGACCTGTGTGGATCCTGCAAGACGAATCAAATGCTTTGTGAGAACAACCTTCGCATTCTAAACATGCTGAGCGAGGAAATTTTCACATTTGGAAAGTCTCACATGGTGTCGAGGAAAGTCGTGAAGCTCCTATGCTCATCAAGTCAGCAAGTCTTTTTTATTTTCTTATTTTTTTTTTGTTGGGGGGGTTCCGTCATCAAGGTAATTCTTTTGTGAACCTTTAGCTGTTGGTTCTCCGAGGTTGAAGGAATCGCTCAACTCGCAGTTTGCCGCGATTTACGATCTATGCACTTTCATTCTCAGGAGTCATGTGCAAAGCCCTGGGTCGGTCAAGCCTACTTTGATCATCACGACGCTGGGGACTCTGGCAAACTTCTTGGAGTGGATTGCCTTGGGCTTCATTTTTGAGACAGATTTGATCCAGATGCTGTTGCTACACTTCTGGGACCCTTTGGAGTACCGGATTGAATGTGCCAAATGCCTTAATGAGATTGCTTGCTTGCATGATGGGGTCCAACAGTACCAACCACAAATGATTCGCTGCTTCCAAGGCGTAGTAGAGAAGATCCAGCAGCTGCCGGAATACATCCCACAGAGCTCTGCAGGTTTGTCTGGACAGCAGCGCATTTTTTGGGAGGTCTTCCACAACCAAGTGGCACTACTTCTCACTGGCTTTCTCAAGCATCACATGCAGGCAATGGAAGCTCAAAGCCGGTACATGATCCCAGCATTGAAGTATTTGGTCAGAATATCAATGGGACCGAATGAAGAAACTTTCAAGATATGCGTGGAATTCTGGCAAACATTCAGCGCTCGTGTTTATTTGGAGAACCAGTCCCAGTTTCAGCAAATGCCTCCGCTTCTGATGGATGGTTCACGTGCAGATTCCAATGCTCAGCGAGAGAAGCTGAAACTCTACGCTCCAGTCCTAGTGGAAGTTCGTCAAGTTCTTATCTCCAAGATGGTTAAACCTCCAGAAGTCACAATCAAAGAAAATGAGGAGGGTCACATCGTGCGCGTTGAGGAGGAAGATACTGATGAGCTTGCTTTGTACAAAATGATGCGGGAGGCATTGATCTATCTCACCCATTTGGATCCAGAGCACATGGAAAACCTAGTGCTGCAACGAGTTGCTCATGAGTGTTTGGAACGGAAAGATGACCTTGAGAAGTGGTGTCCGACTATGCTCAATCGCTTGTGTTGGGCCATCGGTTCCATCAGTGGGGCAATGCAGGAGTCAGAAGAGAAGAAATTTGTCGTGGCAGTGATCCGGGACCTTTTGAAGCTATGCGATCTCAAGAAAGGCAAGGAAAACAAGGCGGCTGTGGCAAGCAACATCATGTATGTGGTGGGGCAGTATCCTCGGTTCCTCAGAGCTCATTGGAAGTTTCTGAAGACAGTAATCTTCAAGCTCTTTGAGTTTATGCATGAGACTTTTCCTGGGGTTCAGCAGATGGCAGTGGACACTTTTCTACGAATTTGCCAGAAGTGCAAGAAGAAATTCGTTGCCCAACAAGCCCAGGAGCCTGCTCCCTTTATTGAGACAATGCCTAGTCACATTGCACAGGACATCTCTGAGTTGGAGCACTTGCAAATATGCACCTTCTTTGAAGCAGTTGGGCATATGATCAGCGCGGCACATGTAGAGCAAAAAGGTCGGCTCATAACATTGAACTTGGCTATCTTCAATGAGAAGTGGATGAGCATCCTACAGGATCTTTCGAAGGCAGGTTCTTTGGAACTCTTTGTGCAGAATCACCAGGTCCTCCGGGAGCTCTCCTTGATCCTCCGTGTGAATGAGCGCATGGTTGTGTCTGTGGGTACTGCGTGCCATGGACAGCTCGCCTCGATTTATTGTGAGATGTTGAAGATCTACAAGGTGTGTAGCGATTTCATCTCTATGAGCACTGCCCAGCAAGGCGTTCAGGTCATGAATTTCTCAAACGTACGACTGCTGCGAAATGTGAAGCGAGACACCTTGAGGTTGGTGCGTTCCTTCCTGGATGCTGCTACGCCCCAAGGTGCTGCAGAAGTGCACTTGACACCAGAGCAGATTGCTCAAAAATGTGTGCCGCCTTTACTGGAACCAGTTTTGGCCGACTATCGCAGCAACATTCCACAAGCTCGTGACGCAGAAGTTCTAGACTTACTCGCAGTGCTTGCTACACGAATTAGTGGGTCCATTTCGCAGGAGGTGGGTAAAATCTTTGAGATGGTCCTGGAGTGCACCTGTGACATGATCAAAGGCGACTTCCAAAGCTATCCTGACCATAGAGTGAAGCTCTATGACCTTTTGAAGGCCATCAATGCACATTGCTTCCAAGCGCTGTTCTACTTACCAGAAGCCCAAGTGAAGCTCTATGTTGACTCCTTGATTTGGGCAATGAAACATGAACAGCCTCAAGTTGCTGATAGTGGGTTGCAGGTCCTGTCACAGTTCTTGGAAAAGCTTCTGAGTGGGCCCAGCACAATCAAGATTGCATTCTTCAAGCAGTACTTCTTTCTGATCTTGCAAGATGTCCTGTGCGTTCTTACGGACACCTCGCACAAAAGTGGCTTCAAGCTCCAGCAGCACATCCTGCTGCAGCTTGTCGTGGCCGTTGAGACAGGCCTACTCCAAGAAGCAGTGCCAAAGCAGCAGGCTATGGAGTTCCTCTTTGACTTGACTGGCAAATCCTTCCCGACCTTGAACCAGAGCCAGGCAGAAATCTTTGTACTGCATTGCTTCAACAAATCACGGCAGCCGGCCGAGTTTCAACAGCATATCAGAGATTTCCTGATTCAACTCAAGGAATGGGGTAGCCACGAGTCTGCCTTATATGAGGCAGAGAGGCAAGCGGCGCAGGAAGAACAACAACAGTTAGATCGACAAATGAGGATGCAAGTTCCTGGCCTCATTCCTCAGTACGACGCATCAAGGCAAGAAGACATGGATGATCTATAATGTTTGAGTCCATGATGCGCCTGAGATTTGTGCACGAATAGAGGCACTCAGGTGCGAGACCTTTGGAGGGCACAGGGCTCGAAAAAGGCGATGTCAGGTTTTGATAACGCAGGAAAGTTAGGATTAGATAGCATTAGTGCAAGTATCTCAGTATCTCAGTATCTCTTGTGGTGTTGTTGTCACACTTTGTTCTGGAGCCACGCGCTCCGAGTCCATTCTGATCCTAAGTGAAGTGAGTTGTTCCAGCGCCGCACATTCTGAGCCGCCAAGCATACTGAATCAGATGGAGTCCAATGAAGCTTCAAAAGACCCCGGCTCCCGGCTCAGGATATTGCTCATGGTGCTCCCCGCGAGCAGTGAAGAATCACCAGAAGCGCGCAAGCAGTGCGGCCAAGCTTGGCGCGAGGGATTAGGAGCACCATGTTGGCTTTTGAAGCAGGCTCAGTCTCCAAATGAGGTTGTGTTTTGAAGCAGCTTTGCGCTACTGGAGCTACTGTACTTTTCGCACAGTGAATCTGATGGGGTAGCAGATTGCGGCAGCCTGTTCTTGTTGTATCTGCATCGTGGTAAACACAACTCTGAACCACACTTTGGGGGAATGTAGTGTGGTGAAACGATGATGCCGTTCAATGTCTGTCTTCAAAAGCTTGTGCAGCAGTGCCGGAAGCTGGGTATGAAACCTGGTACTTTGCATATTCAAGGCCTGGGAGTGCTCTAGGCAAGTTCTATTGGAGCGATAGTGAGCTACAGTGAGTGTGGCTGACCATTTGATATGTACGCCATGCTTATGAGGTTGGCAAGCTATAGAACATTCCCGCGCCGAAGAGCTGATCTTGTCATGAATTAGCTTCGAAAGGAGACGGAACTTTCCTGATTTTGTGTTCTTGTGCGGTGGCTACAGCTTCGCTATATATACATATATGCACATACTATGTTCCGTGTCTTGGTGATCCCTGATCTGTGAATCTGTGGCTTTGTGTTTTGACGCAGCCCATGTTTTGCGGCAATTTGCCAAGCCTCTCACTGCTCAATGTAGATCGGCCAAGATGTGTGGATGAGCCTTGCGTCGGCTCAGAAACATACGGCACACTTGCAAGATTTGTGTCACCTAGCCTGACCAAGCTTTTTTCTTGAGGCTTTTGGCGGTGGCTACGTTGGCATGGCTCGTTGAGGCAGGCTCTCACAGACCTAGAGAGGTCGCGCGGAACTGCCTTGAAGACTTGAGCGTGGCACCTACACTACAGACCCTGAGGGTGGCTGCCCCTCCAGAGCCATCCCGGTTGTCATCGGCAGCACCACGGTGGGATCGCCAGAAACTATATAGGGTGTCGCAGATTTTTATTGTTGTGTTTGCAGGGGGCAGGAACTCTGCAAAGTTTTTGGACTGTGGAAAGTGTGCCACTCATGGCAAGTTTTCAAGAAAGGGATGCATGTCTCAGAGCATTTCTCAGAAGGTGTGAAAGTCAGATGCAAGCAGCATGAACGCATAGTCAACGCAAAGTGATCACGAAGTTCCCTCGAAGCAGTTCTATCAGCCGTTAGGACAAGGCGATTATATAAAGTACTGTAATTAAGCTGGTAGGGTAGGCGATTGAGCTGTTAAGTTGTCAGGAGAAGCGATCGAGCTATTCCTGTAAGCTGTTTGAAAGAGCGATGTTGGAATGTTTGATTATGCTTTTTGGAGATGCAATCACTAGGGGTCAAGTTATCAAGGGGTAAGTTATCAAGGCGTTAAGCTGACGAAAAACTACAACGGGAACAAGCTGCCATTTGCAACAGCTCAAAATCAAACCAGGAGCTTAGATTTGATGCGTAACTGTGAGAGGTTGAACTTGGTTCGCCATAATCTGCACCCAGAAGGTTAAATAATCTGCTTCTCAGTGAACCGATTGAACTTTGCCAACTGCACTAGATCATCGTTGTGGCCACTCCTTGCTGGCAATTGTATGTCTATCCCGGTCATCGGATCAATCCAGATGGCACTTCCTTTTGTTTACGGACATTCGAAAGGAGCGGCGCCAAGCACAGGCTCCGTCACTTAGCCAAAGCCGGCCAAGCTTACAAATGTTGAGCCAAATTGTTGATGACAATGAAAATTCATCTGATTCCGAGCTTGATTGAGCACTGAACAGCACAACTGCTCACTGATCAACTGATCAGCATGCACGCTGCACTGGAGGAAGCTGGGAGGTTGGGTAAACAGGTGTAGCTTTGCTTTGTGTTGGCCTTGAACTTAGAGATGCTACGAGTTTTGAGCCGAGTTTTTGCACCACTCCTGTCCCACGTAGTGTCATTTTAGTGTGTTTGTTTCTATTTTTTGGAGTGGCGCGTGGGGGTGTCAAGAATGGTTAGCGCTGGAACTTGCCAAGCCATTGCGGCTGGTTGTTTGACAAGGATGTGCGCCAACCTTTTAGGCAGCCCAAACCTGACAGTATTCATCATTCCATGCTGCCCTCAAATAAATCATTTGAAACAAGCCTTTGGAGAATATTCCGCTTTGACAAGCCCAAATAGATGTGTTTTCGTCTTGAACTCACCCAATGTGGTATTTCCCGTGGCTTACTCCGGTGTCTGCATTTGTTTGATACTGTTCCCTTATGATAGTCATCCCTTGGGCACCCCACTATGTGGAAGGGCTTTGGGGGGAGCTTGGACCGTTAGTTGAGTGTGGTACACGGAGGTGGCTTATGAGCTGAGAGGCTTGATGAAAAGGAAAGGCTTGGAATCACTTGGATAGTTCGATGCAGCACTTCAGGAGGTTGCATGGGGGACGCAGATGACAGAGATTGAGTTGAGAAGCGACGTGCATCTCGCAATTTCCACCTCTCACAACTTAGTTTAGTCTCCAACAGCTCAATGGCTCGTTTGGTCGCCTTTCTAGCCTCTAATGGGCTTGACAGCATTTACTGTAGTGGCATAGCAGCAGCTGCTACTAGCTGAACAGCGCTGAACAGTGATCACAACCTGCTTATCGTCCAGCGGTCAACCAGGACTGGAGTATATATTGATAGTATATGATAGTATTGTAGAGTTGTCTCTTCGCAGAGAAGAGGTGGAGAGGACGCAGCAGGTGAAGCGCCACCGATGGCGACGGACAGGAGGAAACCTCTCAGAGACGCCGTGAGGCGGTGGCAGGAAATGGCAATCAAAAACACAAGAAAACAGCACGCATGCGACTTTAGAAGATCGTTCATGACATGTTGGCATTTGATCTCTGACCACTCTTTCGCATCTCAAACTCACTAGAGCGGGTGGGACACAACGGCCCGAGGCTTCACAACCCAACATTTGCAAAGAGAAACGCAGCTGCAAGGGGAAACCTAATGAGCCGGGTGCAACATTTTACGCGAAGCCGGCAGGCGTTCAAACCATTTGGAAAAGCGATGAGTTCCGCACATTTGTTGGGGGAAGGGATGGCCAAGCCATTGAAGTGAACTGCTATTCTGGCAGCTGACAGCTTAGCGGGTCAGTGCACACCCAAAGTGCAGACCAAAACGTGTGGATCAATGAGAAACAGTGCACGCCAAATGAAAGGGTAACTAACGGTGTGCCCTCGCTAGCCTTTTGCTTGTCGACGCCATATCGGCCGAGCGGCCCCATATGGCGTATCGGCATAGCTGACCTATCAGTATAGCTCGGCGTATTGGTCCATGCCCCTCCGCTGACGCAACGGCGTTTTTGGATGTTTTTGCATACAGGCCTATCGGCGTACGCTCCAACGGCGCGCCGTGAGGTAGCAACTTGTAAGGACTTATATAGCAGGTGCCAACAACTTAGTCTTTGAGAGAGTCAAAGAATCCAAGAGCCCCTCCCTCTCAACAGCTTGCCTTAGCAGCAGTTTCGATCGAAATCCGCGACCGGACCTCATCAACAGCTGAAGCACCGCGGGATACTTTTCATACAAATTCATACGAATCTCCGAAGTCTTGTGACGGAATCTTTTTGAGGTCCCTGTGCGTCTCATAGAGCTGCAAGAGGGCGAAGCTGTCGAGTTGCCTTGCGGAGACCTGCTGAAGGGCTATGCATCTTGGACCAGTGCAGGCACAGGTAGCACCAACCATAAATTTGTGTCATTTATGCTGATTTCTCTCGCACATTATGGGCTCAAGAAGGCTTTGCTTGGCTGAGGCTGGATTGCTGCGGGTGTTTTGCCTCGCCGGGGTCCAAACCACACGGCATACCTGTGAGCCTAAGAGCTGTCCAGCTGGGCAGCGCGCTCCTGCCAGGCTAGAAATGAGTCAAGAATCCCAATATGCAATGCAACATATTCAGAATTTTGTTGAATTTTGTGTGCCACAGTGGCCACAGTAGCCAAATGTTTAATGTTGAAGGACTGCGGCCGACGTCATTTTGTCCTTGTGGACCTACTTTGGAATTGTCAGGATTGGCGACAGTGCTGATTTGCTGCCTGCAGAAACTAGAGGACAATGGTGGGGGATAGTGTGGGTTGGTCCTTGGGAGCTTTGGGATCTTAGAAGCGACAGCAGCACCTGATTTATTGTTTTGCCCATCACCTGTGGAGGGCTGAGGCCTGCAGTGGAACCTTCTACAGTGGAGCACAACATGCCAGTGACCCACAGTGATGCACGCACTTTAGGCTGGCATCCTTTTTGTCCTCGTTTTTAGTTGCTAGCTTTTGCCAGGACTTGCGCACAATAAGCAGGAGTCTATTCCGTGCAGGAATGGCTGCAGCTGCCTTGTGTGATTTCGGGTTCCATTTCTGATTGGTCTGGTGGAAGCAGTGCGTATATTGGTCAAGATTCGCAGTTGAGATGCCATGTGCTCCTTCAATTGCAGGTTCTTTCTACGTATCTTGATGCAAGGTTGCCGAGTTCTAGTTCCTTGTTGTTCACTGTGTCACTGTTATTTGCCAAACGTAGCCTGGGAGTCCTTGAAAAGAAAGCGCCTGGGAAGGATCTTGAAAGAAGGCTACTTGGGCCACGTGCATCTCAGGCTTGCGTGTTGGACCAGCACTTTAGGCAGCATGCTGATTGCTCGAAGCAGTCAGGTTGTGAACGGCAGCCAAGCAACCTTTAGAGATATTATTCTATAGCCCTTACATGCGCAGTCACGTGCCACAAATCAAACATACCCGCACATGAGAGGCGCCGACCTCCCAAAGCCCAAGCTAGCAGAGGTGAAGGACAATTGCAACATGACCAGCACTCTGGAGCTTTTGGGCACCCACAACGACACAATGCAAAAAAATCATGCAATATACACATGTATACATACATAAATAGATTTATATATAATATATATATATATGTAGTATCCACAGATTTGTGTAGGCATACCTCCCATCCAGGTCCCAGCAGCCAAGTCTTTCCTTCGTCATATCGAGAAGCTTCGTCTTCTATGCTGAAGGCAGACTATGTGTTTGCTAGTGGCTAGTGCCTGTTGATTCTATTCTTTTCTTGTCCAACCCGCAGCATTAAATCACCTCACTATGAAGCGAGAGGGGCTCTCCCACAACTAAGGTCTGATGCACAGGCACATGTCACAAGTACATGGACAACCTCTAAACAAAACCATGCTCTTCCCGCTGCTTGAGTTTCTGGTTTTGCTCTCAACTTTCCACAGTACCAGAACAGAAAGAGGTTTCAATAAAGGATAGCGCATCAACGGGTAGGAAGTAAGAGGTTTCTGCAGCTTTGAGCAGATATGGATGCGACCAACCAACCTTTCAACAGCACTGAGCAGATGGAGTTGCTGTGCAGATGTAGGCCCACCAAAAGGCGACATATGTTCCTGCAAAGGTTATATATTGTTCCGGGTAGGGCGGTGCTCCTGTATGTGTGCAGTGCACACAAGCAACCAAATACTCGAGCAATCTGGCCTTGGACAGGTGCTTTTTGGGTGAACTCCGCGCAGATGCTGCCAGTTGCCATCCACAACTGGAAGGCCATATTGAAGTGGATTCGGCAAATCGAGCATTGAACCTCGTGTTGAAATAAGACCGTCTACCAGTCTACCCATTGATAAACTTTCACCGGTTCCAGCCCCCCAATGCAACAAGTCTCTGGGAAGACTCTCGCACGGCCTGACGGGGAACGTTTGGTTGAATGTATTGTGGGTCGTTTCACATCACTTGGTATCCTACCTGAACAAGATAAGCTATGACAAACTACCACTTTAGAATCTAGAATCTAGAAGATAGTTTGTACGACTTAGTGTTTGTGCTTGATTCTTGAATGTTTTGGCTTCTTCTGGCAGGTGCCCGTTCAGCTTACAGGCTACTAAGCGGAAACTTCTTGCCAGGACTTACTTGGTTACTTGGACTTCTTCAGGTTTGAGCTGCGCTGCCCTCCAAGGCATTGTAGGTCAGAGCAACCCAGCATGCAAACCTTGCACACGCGAAGTGCAGGAACCTGGCGGGTCTTTGAGCTGTACTTCTACAGCAGTCCAGATTGTCAGGGAGGCCAAGGGTTAGGGGGATGGTGACGTTGATTCGAGATTCTACCAAGTCTGGAACCCAATCGGTTGGAGTTGGAGGTAAGCTTTTTGGTGAGCTCTTTGGCGCATCCGAGCTAGCTGGCACTTTGGCACTCAGTGCCGACCGGAATATTTCAACGTGACTCAGATGCACTGTGGCGATGTGGGAGATGTGGATGCCGTAACTTTCATCGCTTGTGAGTGTGCTAGGTTGTGATACTAGGTTGAAGGCACACCTTTGTTTGGCTAGTCTTTGGTTTCTTTGTTCGTATGTTTTTTTTGCTTGCTCGATTCTTTTTGGCTTCTTGATCAGCATGGCGGGAAGAAGACAAGGATGTTTAGTAATTTTTCATCCTCACGCATTGGATGTTACAAGACTGACGGGCTCAGAGACCCGAGGCACCAAACACTTTTCAAGGTATCGGTTGCTACTTTCAATCAGATACTGGCAAGACAGTGCCAGACTAGCAAAACAGTTACACAGTTACACTTGCTTGAAGAAGAGTCTAGGTATTAACACCGGAAGTGCAACCAAGACAAATGTGATTCTACCTCATGCACCTCGAAAGGCGACATTACCTTCTTCAACGGGAGAGAAATTAATACCTCAGAAACCATTACCTTGGCATCCATGTGAACAAGAAAGTCGAACCAAAGCAAAAGATGAGGAAACGCAAGAATTGGACATATTTTGCCATAACACAGGTTGCAGCAAAAAGTCATGAAAAACAGTGGAAACTAAGTACTACTACTATATGTATACAATATATAGTGTACATCGCATCCATGATTTCGATCTTCTGCACGGACCCCAAGCGCTCAGCAAACTTTCTTATATAATACGTTTCAATTGGTTTCAATCAATACAGATCCTCCATCCGCGTACCATCTATCTATCTATATTATATATATGTCTGAAAAATGCAAATGACTTTGTTTGCCGCAGAACAGCTGACGAACTCAATGTGCCTACTTTTCTGGCGCACGCGGAAAATTAAAACTAATGACGGAAGTGTGGATAAAAAGACTAAAGGTACTTGGACACGTGCACGAAGAGAAAGACAACCTCAGCCATGCCTCACAAACTGAACATTGGAGGGTCGGGAGACCGCAACTTTGCACCACAATCAACATGAGCAAAGCTGGGATGCTATATGTCTAAATAACCCAGCTCAGCCAAGACAAAATCATGACAAGTACGTACAATCGCAACATGCCAAAGCAAATTATGGCGCAAGAAAATGATATCAGCCACCATTCCGTTCCTAATTCACATTGCTGGAACAGGTCGCAAGAGACACCTCTAGTGTATCTCAGTGTTGCACCCCAATAGAATTTCATCCATTTATATTTATAATGTTGTTTCACGCTAGTGTAGTATCATATACGTCTCACTCGTATTACTTTGGCTCAAGGCAAAACAGGTGCGACTAGGTGGCGCTTGTAGGTCGTTTTCCTGTAACTACAGGTTATCAGCCGTATCGCCAAAAGTGCGGTACGTGCTTGATCCTAGCCCTGGTCTCACCCACCCTAGATAGTGCACTGTCTAGAGGCCATGGCTGATGATGAAAGTTCCCGTGGTGACCGCTCGCGTTCAGGCTACATTCCGACTTCGCCTGCCATGTCGAGCTCACCTGCTTTGGAGCTCCCTGTAGTTCCGCTGGAGTTGCGTGCGCCAAATGTGCCACCGATGCTCAGTGCACAGGGGGACCTGTTGCCTAGTGTTCAAGCTCCGTCGCCATTTCAACCTGAGTTCTCTCCTGTGACGAATGTCCAGAACGTTGATGCAAGACAGATCCATCAACAAGCAGTCTTCGTCATTGAGGATAGGTCAGCTCAGGTAGCTCAGATTGCGGAATTGCGGCGTCAGGCCATTTTGGCCGAACACGGGCAACAAGTAGCAGATGATGCTAGGCAATATAGAGACTTAGTAGAGAACCAAGCTAGAGTGGCTATCCAGGAGTCTAGGGAACAAATTGAGGCTTTAGCCAATCAACGTTTGAGTGACATGAACCAAGCCCATCAAAACCAACAACTTCATGAACAGAGGGCTTATTTAGATCGGATTTCGCTCGAATGACACTCCGTCGTCGAGAACGAACGCGCCTCTGCAAAGCAAAGGGAGGATGCACTTCGGTCAGAGTTAGCGAACAGAGTCGAATCATTAAGGAGTTGCGAGAGAGATTTGACAACGCCTCGGGGAACCGAGTGCCTGCGCCAGCAGTGCAGCCACCTGGATCCCAAGGGTCCCCCCAGCTGTGCCTCCAGCGAGCCTTCGCACTCAGCTGGAGAAGCCCGGGAACGAAGGCGATGACAATCCTCATCCATCCAATGCTGATGACGAAGGTGATGACAAGTCCAAGAGGGACAAGAAGAAGAAAGGAAAGGAGAAGAAGAAAGAGAAGAGCCCGACTAGAGGCCGATCAAGAGAGCGCAGGAAAAGGCGTTCACCTTCTCCGTCACCGTCGTCCCCTAGCTCAGCAAGCGGAAATGACAGCTCCAACGGCTCAAGCTCTGAATCCTCGCGTCTTGCACGCATCATCCGCAAGGAGCTGAAGAAGCAGCAGAGGAAGTCAAAAGAGAGAGATCGTGAGAGCAAAGCCAAAGAGGCTGATAAAGTTCTCATTCCTAAGTTTCCCACGCCTGAGAAGTACAGAGATTGGAAGATCAAGGTGAGGGACAACATCGCTGCGGCTTCAGCTATGCCAGATGAAGCTCGAGTATGGGTTGGGAAAGTGCGCAAGGATTCCCAAACCATTGACGCATTGGACGATTCAGAGGGTTTTGCAACCCTTGACGCAAAGCTTCTAGCAAGCTTGACTAATTGCGCTGAGGGGGACCTTGGTCGTCAAATTGCTACCTTCAAGGAGCTGCGTGCTCGTGAAGACAAAAATGTGAAGGGAAGACATTTGCTCCTTCGATTTCATGAGTACTTTGCAACAAGCATCAAACATGGCGCAATCTATGGTCTTGAAGACCTTATGTCCGTCAAGATGGTCAATGACGACCTCAAGGGCTTTATAAACAAGTGGGACAGTGTCCTGGCCGGAATGAAGAAAGAACCAGAAGACAGTGTCCTTGAAGCTTACTTCCATCTGGCAGTCAAGCGCTTTAAACCCCTTGAGCATGACCTGGCCTTGTACGATCGAGCAGCTGATGGTAGTAAAGAAAGATCGTATGACTTCTTGATCACAGCTGCGAGGGCCTATCTTGAACGGAGAAGGCTTGAAAAGATGCGTGACGCTACCAAGCGTTCGCTCGGGGCCAAAGAAACAGCCATGCCCGCTCCGGATGACAAGAAGGGAGTATGCTTTGACTTCCAAAAGACCGGGAAATGCAAGCGCGGATCATCATGTCCATACAAGCACGAAAAGGGCCGCGAGAAAAGCAAAGGAAAGGGAAAGGGCAAGGATCGCAGTCAGTCTCGATCAAGCCTGGGTCTCGAAAGGAGACTTGCAAGTTCTGGAAAGCAGGACATTGTCATCGAGGCAAAGACTGTGCGTTCCAGCACCCTGAGAAGACTGTCTCTGCGAAGAAAGAGGACAAGAAGAAGAAGAAGAAGAAAGATAAGAAACCTCGCAAGCGAAGCAGCTCACGAGGATCGTCAGGCTCCGACAACTCAACTGGCACGGAGAGTCAGCGGAGAAAAGGTGGGAAATCTTCTTCTTCCAATGCACCGGCAGCAGTCTGCCTCCTACGAGCAGTGGTCATGGCCGCAGTGGTCTCTCAGGGATCCTCCGTCCTCATCACTCGCCCGCCGGGAAGCGTGGCCATGCCGGTCCTTTCCGCATCGAACACACTATGCACCGATTTTGACAACACAGAAAACATTGACAGTTTTGTTAGACAGCAAGTTCGTTTTGATGATCAACCAAACATTTTTAGTCATGCTGTTGAGTCTTCTTCCAACTGACGATCAGTCCAACCCCGAAGTAAAAGGAAACGGAAGACCTTCACACCAAATCGGCCGGAGTACATTGAAGCTGTTCGAGTTGCCGCTGAAGATGCTTCCATTGCAGCATCACACCTCCAGAACGCTGTCAGGAACGAGCTTTCGTCCATGCCGGCAGAGTGTTCGTACCTGTGCAACTCCGACATTGGTTGCATTAAGTGTTTTGGTAAGAGGCCATCGACCTCAGTGCCAGCTACTGAGATCGCTTGGATAGCGGACACGGGCAGCGCTCATGATCTTGTGTCTAGGCACATGCTCCATTCCGATGAGGTGTCACAGTCAACCAAACCTGTAAGTCTTCTCACAGCCAACGGAGTATTCCAAGCTACTGACCAAGCCAGAGTAAATGTTCCCATTTTGGGTGATGACATCAATCCGTATGTCCTAGATGACAGTCCAGCCGTCGTATCTGTGGGACAGCGTTGCGTCGAAGCAGGGTGGAGCTTTCATTGGCCAGCTTATAGCAGACCATACTTCAAGAAACCAGACGGAACTAAAGTCAAACTTGAAGTAGATGACTATGTTCCATACCTGCCATCCACAACCGGTGTTGCGATGTCAGCCATAGGTCAACCTTATGGCGCAAATCGGCGGTCGGGGGGACCACGACCCATGATTCCCCTGCCTGCCACGCCGGCTGAAGAAGCGATTGAGGTCTATGATGATGATGAAAATTCACTTGGTGAAGATCCCGCTGAAGAGGAACCTGAACCATTGGATGAGAGGTTGGTAGAAAAGCCGTTGGACCCCAAACGGGACCGGGGGGAGACTGCATTGAAGGAAGAAGCTCAATCAATTCAGCATCTGTTGACGCATACTCCAAAGAACCCCTTTTGTCAAGCCTGTTCCAGAGCGAAGATGACGAACCGTCCCTCATATAGCAAGGGAGGTTCTACCCAAGTTGATGCGGACCATTTTGGACAGCATTTGACTGCCGATCATCTTATCATTAGGGACGATGAGGAAATGGATATTGATGGGGCTCGTGTTGCACTGGTCGTGAAAGATGTAGCAACTGACTTTAGGTACGTCTACCCGGCCGCCCGTCGTTCGACACGGGAGTGCATTGCCGCCTTCAAACATTTTGTCCGATCCACTGACGAGGTAGGAGTGTTTTACTCTGACAACTCTCCAGAGCTCATCGCCACCGCAGAGAGACTAGGATGGAGGCATCAAACTAGCTTTGC